CAAGGGCTCAATAGAAAGTAACTGTCTAGAAAAGAATGATGGCAACATATGTACAAGTATGCCTCATACAATTGACGTATGGATTGTAATAAGCATTGTAAGAGCCCTCAACAAAATGATTTTTTTAAATGTAAACCCTTCAAAAACCAAGTGTCTCAGACATCCCCGGGGACAGTTCTACCCTGTTCTATAGTCAGTATGAGTTGGCATCGACTCAACTGCAAGAGCTTTCAATAGTTTCTTTCTTTTTGACTGGTTTCCTATATTTGCCCTGGAAAGTGGAGAAAAGGTTGAAGTTATCAGGGATTTTGTCTTACTTGGATCCAGAATCAATGCTCATGGAAGTAGCATTTGAGATCAAAGACCTATTACAGTAAATAAATAAACATACAGACCTAATGCATTATGTCATTCGACTGCACAAGGCCTCTTTAGTGAAGAGCAAGGCTGTTACTTTGAGGACTAAGGAGTGTCTGACCCAGCCATGGTGTTCTCCACTGCCTCGTGTGCATGTCCAAGCTAGACACTGAAGACGGACTGAAGAAACGAATTTGGGTTGTGGTGCTGGAGAAGAACACTGGAACTACCATGGACTGCTGAAAGGACAAGCTGCTGGTCCTCCAAGAAGTACAGTCAGAGTGCTCCTTAGAAGCAAGAACGGCAGGACTTCCTGACACACTTTGGATGTATGTCAGGAGAGAGCAGTCCCGGAGAAGCACATCGTGGTTGGTAAGGTGGAGGGAAAGCCCTCAAGGAGACGGACGGACAGACACAGTGGCCGCATCAGTGGGCTCAGGCACAGGTACCGCCGTGAGGACGGCGCAGGACCGTGCGGGGTCGCGATGGGTCGGAGCGGACTCCGTGGCACCTCGCACGTTAACAGGTTGTCTAGTCCTTGTGGGGCTTTGGGGTTTGTCTACTTCCTGTTTATGTTTTATCTAACTTTTCTGTATATGAAATCCAAGATAGGTAGATCTACAGAGATGGTAACTGGATTAATAATTGCCTAGGGGCATGGAAGGGAGAACAGGGGAAATGAGGATCTGACAACAGAGTACAAGCAGAAAATGTTCTGAAATTGTGGTGATGATTACATAAACCTTAATATGATCGCACGGTCAAACTGTATGATATGTGAATTATATACCAACAAAACTATTCTACAACCAACAGCCTGCTAGAAGAATGTGTCTCAGGAACAAGTGATAGCACCTGTTGGGTAAATGCTAGGCTGCTAACCAACTACAGGGCTTGTGGTTCAAACCCACCAGCTGATCTGAGGGAGTAAAATGAGGCCATCTGCTCCCATAAAGATGTACAGTCTCATAAACTCTGTATTGCGCTGCTGTGCGTGGGAATCGACTGGGTGGCAGTGCGGGGGCGGGGGGGGGGGTAAACTTAATGCACACCTAGAAAGAGCAACCGTCACTCATCACAAATGGAAAACAAAACTAAGGGATGCTGGTTCCTGAGCATCACAGGTGCCAACCTCCAGGCAACAAGCAGGACCACAACAAAAAGAGATGAGGAGTCCTGGTGTGGGTTTGGCTACTAACCAAAAAGTCAGGGGTTCAAACCCACCAGCTGCGCCTCAGGAAAAAGTTGAGGCGATCTGCTTCTGTCCAGATTTACAGCCTTATCATGCTTCAAAGAGACAGGAAACATGAACGACCCACTACACAGGGAAAGTATGGACTCGCGAAGAACACAGTAGGGCCTGCCACTTTCAACCACAAAACCAGCCACACAGCCACGGCAGTCTAAACCACCTGCCACTGGCACGGCGCCCCATACAAAGGCTATTAGACCGAACTGAGGGCCCAGAGGAATGCATCCACCTATGGGCAGCATGGATGGTTGGTTGACAAAGGTCTGGGAGCATTCATTAAATGGGGAAGGGGTCATTTCAGAAAAAACGGCGCTGGCAAAACTGGATCTCTATGTGCAGAAGAATGAGATGGGACCCACATCCTACTCCACACATCAAACTCAAGATGGACTAAAAGCCTATGTGAAAACCCTTGAGATAAAGGCGATTTAATCATGGGAGGGGAGGACGACACAAAAGAAAACATTATAAAAGTGATTATGGTAATGATTGTACAATTTTGATATGACTGAATTGCGTATGTGGATTATGTACATGTGGAAAACTGCAAATAAATCAGAAAAAGGAAAAAACCCCTCCAGAGATGGAGCTCATGCAAGTGAAGACGGTGCACACTTGAGAGCGCGGATTCACGCATCAACACGCTACCACATCTAACCACACACAGCCGCAGACAAGAGAGGCGGCTGGGACCGCCCGAAGATTCGCTGCGAGCAGAATGAGAACCCACAGACTGGGGGTAAATGTTGGCAAGAGGAAACTTCAGCACCTCAACAAGAAAAATACAAATGCTCCCATTTTAACAGGCAACACAGACACTTGACCAAAGACGGCACCCGGGTGGCCGGCTATCATGAAACAGGGTCAACCACATAAGCCATCGAGAGCTGCAACACCTCGCGCCAGCGTGGTTGGAAACAATCACAAAGTCAGAGACTGTTGGCAAGAGTGGGGAAACTGGACCCTCATACTCTGCTGGACTGAAAACCGGGGTGGCCAGTGGCCCAGCACGTGGTCAAAGAGTGGGAATGGAAATGCCGTATCATCCAGCACCCTCCACTTCGTCTAAGTCCCAGAAAAACTAGGAGTCAAAGGTGTGCACACCCGTGTCCCCCACAGCACTGCTCACAACAACCAACACAAGGAGGCCACCGAACGCCCAGCAGTGGAAGGAAGTCTGCGTGTGCCTGCGATGGGAAGTATGCAGAGAATATGAAAGTCACCTCGTGGCCATCAGGCCGAGTGAAAACAGTCAAGCACAGAAAGGATAACGATTGTACAAGGCTATGTCATGAAAAATAAATAGGTTTTTATACAAAATGAAATTGATGGTGGGGATCACTGGCTGTTAAGCTTGGGGAGTGGGGAAGGGCAACAGAACACAGTAAGAGGGAGGTTAGGAAAAAACGAGGGTGGCAGAAGACACGGGGAGGTTTGAAAGGGCTCAGGTAACAGAGGTAAATACTGTTACGGACACAACCCCTCTGCAGCAGGGACCCAGGACACACAGACTGGACAGGCTAGAGGTGGTGGGCGTAGACTCACAAATACAGGTTGTTGTGACAGACGGTACAGAGACATGCGCATTTACCTTCACTGCAAATCTATCCATGAACGCAGGGGAGCACATAGGGGCAACAATTTGAAAAGCCCAAGAGTCACTGGGCCTGAGAGATCAGGACCGTCATCTTGAGACACACCAAGGTCAACTGTGGTGACAGAAGTTCACAGTGTGCTACATCCCACTTCAGAGAGGAGCAATGGGGTCTCTAAGGCTGTGAGCAGCTTTCTATGGCCTGACGACGGGTCTCTCCTCACGCAGACACTAGAGTGGCTAGAATCAAGACACTTAAAAACAAGGAACCCTCTCCAACGTTTACAGGGGACTTCAAAAATCTGTGGGGGAAAAAGGTGCCACTACGATTAGATTCCACTCTCCCACACTCTCTGAAGCCCCCGTGTATTGGGGAAGGAGGTGTGAAATACAGTGAGGAAGGTACAGGTCCACCTACCTGCCTGCCTACAAACTGCCCCAGAGGGACTTAGAAACACTGGCTAAGCTTCTGAGAGCAAGACACATGCCTGACACATCCCTTCTGTAATGCTGGCTTCTTAAGCCCAGTCCTATATTACCTGTTTGTTAAAGCAAATCCTTTTTGTTTTTCCTTCTGCCTGAGCCAACTAGGAACACTGGGTCCTGGAACCTGAACTGCTGGGCGGGGAAGCAGTGACTGGCCTGGCTGGGCACTTCCTCTGAAGAGGAAGTGGGCAGCACCCACAACCAGGTGCGGGTAGCCCAGCTAGGATGGAGTGGTAAGTGGGTAATAGGCCAGGCCCACCTCTCCCCTGGGGCACGCATAAGTGTTATTGTGGGGGGGTGGGGGGGAGCCAGCCCTGCCTGGGTCTGTCCCCATGACACTTAAGGATGGAGGTGTCACCAGGCCAGCCGGCCATTGTCCAAGCTCTCTGCTCTGGGTTCTCATGGGCAGGTCCAGCCTGGGCCCCCTACAGAGGCTTTTGAAGGAGGGAGGAAGGTCAAGAGAGGAGGAGAGACAGAGGAAAGGAAGGAGGAAGCTGGGGGAGGGGGGAAGAGGAGTGGGAGGGGCTGTCCTCTTGGCTCACAGAACACCATGTCCCCAAACCTGTCCCTGTGTTTCCACGTACCTGCTGTCAACACAGGCCCTGGGCCTGCACACAAGTCCCCTCTTGCATGGTCAACCCTGGACTGGGAGCCACCACAAAGCTCGTAAGGTGGGGGGGTGAGAGGTGGGGGAGGGGGAGGAGACAGAAGGCCACCAAAACACAGCCGGGTGCTTGGGAACTTCCCCTCGGCCAGGGGTTGGTCCCTGCAGCCTCAGTAAACAGGTTTCAAAACCATTAGTCAGCACTTTGGCCTGAAGATCTGCCACCTCAGACTCCAGGTCCCCAAGCTGGGCACTGAGGGTCCCCAGCCCCTCATCCAAAGCTGAGCCAAGCACTGGGCACAGCTTACCAAGGCAGTCAAGTTGCCCGTCCAGGCCTGAGGGGGCTCTACAGTCCCCACCGCTGCCTGTTCCCGCCACCCTGCCACCCCACCACCAGCCGCCCAACTGCTAGCAAGGACTCTCCCAGGGCCCCTCCCCCGCCCGCTGACGCAAGGCGGCCAGTGTCAACAAACAGCCTGCCCAGACAGGTGGGCCGGCAGCAAAGCTGTCCGGGCCAGCACTGGACACCAGCCTCACAGGTCACGGCCACTGGGTCACACGGCCCTGGGAGGGCCATGGCGGGGTCAGGCTCCCTGTCAGCAGGCCCCCAACTGGGCTGTGGCCCAGGCACCCCCCTCCCCAGCCAGTCTGCCAAAGGTGGTGGGAGAATGCCCAACATCCCCTGAGAAGCCAAGCCCTGGCCCAACACCAGGCTTGGGGTGGGGGTCCCTAGGCTCAGAACTCCATATCCCGCCTCCTTCCTTCAGGGGCAAACATGCCTAGAACCCACCACCAGCAGTGGGGGACTCTGGCCCTCCCGGCCCCCACCCTGGCCCGCCAGCTGCCAGCACGTACCTGGAAGTCGTACAGGGCTACGATGTTCTCGTGTTTCAGCTCCTAGGGCAGAGGCCAGGTTGTCAGGGGCCGGCCGGGGCGCCCACCACCCTGCCTCCGCCCGGGCCGCGCAGCTCACCTTGAGAATCTTGATCTCCTTCCCCAGCAGCGTCTGTGACTTGGCCAGGTTCTTCTTGTTGATGCACTTGACCGC